AGCCCCTAGTAGCGTCCTTGCTCCTAGTAGCGATGCCCGGGTTCCTAATAGCTTCTTGTTCCTAGTGGTAAAGCTACAAAGCCGCTTTGCTTCAGGGGAGCTGGCCATGACTTGGATGAGATAGAGGTGGGAATGACTCTGTGCAGATACAAGTGGCAGATGTTGTTGCATCATGCATGATATCTCAGTCTTGCCAATTGTTGGCACATGTTCCAGCTTTGGTACAATGAAAGATGAAGCCTCATACTCGCTAGTGTGAGCATCTGAGATCGGCCAATGATACACTTTCACGTTCGTTTCATTCACAATTCAATCATGGATGGTCACCTGTCCTCGCTGGGAGAGACATGACATTTATGTCAATGCGTGCCCGCAATGGACCAAATCTTGAGAGTGAAGGAGCTCCGAGATGTTCTGCTTTTGGCTTCCGACCAGTCCAGAATTCTAAAGGCCTTGCGCGGGCTGCAGGAGCTTGGAGTTTTGCAGGAGCAGGTTTTGGCTGAGACGTTTGTTGGTCTTGCCGTGGATGTTCTTGGAAAAGATGCAAAGATACCTGAAACCACAAAGACATTATGCAGTGAACTTGTGAGCACGTGGCAACAGGGCCTTCACGAGGGGAGGAGTTCATCGCGACCGGAGACCTCGAGGAGAGAACGTTCGCGAAGCCCAGACGATGTCGCTGCTGTTCCGCGCTTGACGAAGCAACGGCTCCGAGTTGTTGAAAAACTGTCTGAAGCATTGTCCACAGCCTCGACGTGTTCTGGACGACCAAATGTTAGCAGCTGTCGTTCAATCTTAATGCTGGCAGCTGAAATTGAAAGCGTCCTTTTCACGAAGCTGGAGGGCCGCAAATATGTCAGCCAGGCCAGGTCACTCCTCTATAACATCAAAGATGAATCAAACGAGTTTGCTAGGCGCTTATTGGATGGTGAACTGAGAATAAGCCAACTGCCAAGCCTAACTGCTGAAGACATGGCAAGTTCGAAAAAGAACGCTGAGCGTGCCCAGCTTCGACAAGAAGCCTTTGAGGCTGCTGCTGTTCGGCCTGCAAGCCACAGCATTACTGACAGGTTTGTTTGTGAAAAGTGCAGTGGCAGCAGAACAGCCTACACGCAGAGTGCAGCGGTGGAGAGCTGTGTGCGATCCGGCGGGGAGCCAGTGGAAACGATGGTAACCTTCGTCACATGCCTTCACTGCAGTCACACTTGGACCGAACGTAGTGGCTTCGCGTAGTCACCGGCATCTCCTGTCTAGGTGCCTCAGGCAGAGGCTGACCCCAAACAGGGCATTCAGCATATCGTTGCAGAACTGTACATAGACTCAAGCCAACGGGGCTTGTAGTGGACTGCCATCACGTGTTCAACGAACATAGACAGCAATCACTCCTGGAGCAGTAAATCCTTGAGTTTCGTGTAGTTTCATTGTATTTCAGCTCTGACTCTGGACTTGAACGTCAGGCACTGGCAGGTGTTGATCGCATGACTATTCCACCTGGGTTTGCTGCCTCAGTCCTTGAATGGTCGCTCCTTCTAATTGATGGCCAACAATAAGATTATATAGGTGCGAGCGTGAGCATCGGACAAACTAGTAAGAACAGGTGCAAGCCTGGAAAGCTTTGAGGGGCAGTTCAAAAGAGAGTGCGGGCGGGCGGGCGGGCAGGAGGGAGAGAGGGAGATCTTGATCCTTGGTAACGTTGAGCCTGCGATATTGCAAATCTGCTGGTGTGAGTTGAT